AATCGCTCCATTCCACCGCCAGGCTGATAGCTCGCGGCGTCAACATCCCCTTTTGCAGACACGCCATATAATGGAGAGCACTCCATACTGGAAGAATAATGCCTAGCATTATGCAATTCTTACAAGGCGTAAGACATGTAAATATATAGGCCCACCTACATAAACAGAGATTGGACTACATCATAAAATTTTCTGGCAACGTTCTTAAGGAATTTAACAGACCCAGAACTTGTCGATTGCTTGGTATAAAGGCAGAAAAAGAATCCTTGATATATTCCTGAAAATTATAATATCGTTATTTAGATGTAAATATGTTAGGAATGCTTAATGAAAAGTAAATATTAATGCGAAAAGCAATAAATAAACAGAAAGACTACTTCCTACTATTTTTTCTTTTAAGAAATTATGAATGTAAGCACGTCTACAAAGTGTGACTGAACATTAATTAAGCCCGCATATTATTCAAAATGAACAAGAAATAGAGAACTTCACAAGGACACCAATATCATACCTGCAACTCCTCGGATATTTGCTTAGCTGTTCAATAAATTCCAAGCTCTTTCATGGAAACCGAACCTTCATTACCGTGTTTACAAGAGCCATCCAGTGGGTCATATCCTGATCTAGCCAGTCCACACCTTAACCCTACAGCTTCATTATTAGCTGCAACATCATCTACTTCTTTTTCATAGTCAATATCCGTCATGTTTGATTGTACGAGTGCAGAAACTGAAAATACGTCCTAACGGTGGCGAATCTGGTAGCAAGAAAACGCGAACTAGGCTATGGTGGGGTCTAGCGGGAGTCTGGAGCCAGAAAATCGGTTTTGTACCGAAATGTTTGAGAGTAATCTGGCTTCAATTTTCAAGAAGTTCAGTTCTTGAATTTTTTTTTATAAATTTCGTACTTTAAATGCAATTTGCAAGAATAATTCCGCAATAACTTTCATTGTTGTTCAACACAAAAATGATTTATTCCCGTTAACTCTGACGGGTCATACTATGCTAGTCTTTCAACAAACGCCTAAGCCTTTTAACTTGTCTTCACTGCTTCAGGGTTTTTTTTCTTCTAAAATGTATGAAATTTTCATCTCGCCCATGCGTGCTGCATGCCCTAACCTATCCATCCTTTTCGACTGCATCACTGCAGTAGCAAGAGTTGCTAAATTAGTTTCCGTTGAATTAGTTTTTTAAAAAAAAACCTGCTGATTTTGATGTAATTTAAATTTAAAATGACGTGTAACGTGCCAGTGTATAATAATTTCAAAGGTGAAGAAAAATTCGAGGTAGGTTTATAAGAACAAACAGGAGCTGTGTTGCCTTTCGTAAAGATAGATAAAACAGCCTCCTGCTTCCATAACGAGATAAATGTCTCAGTTAATAAACTGAGATTGAAAACGTGACGTAAAGGGGGAGAAAGTATCTCAGAACAACCTTTTATAATAAAATTATGAATTTAATCTGGTCCGAAGCATTTCGTCGAACGCAGACGACTAATGGCTTTCTCAGCTTCTGAATCTGAAATGTACGGAATATTCAGAAAATCCGGACTTGTTCTGTCAGAATTGTTAGCAACTCGAACAGAAGAGGTTGAGTTAAAAAAAAAAAAAGGGAACGCTGTCAGAAAAGGATTCTGCATTCAGTTGCGGCCCAGTGAACATTTTGTTTCCAATTTCAATTCGGGTACCAGATTGACCGTTCTTTTTAAATTTAGAAATTAATTCCTAATAGTGTTTTAACTGCGTCCTCAAATTATTATAAATAGCTCTTAACTAATCCAATATATGTGCCTTAATAGCAGTTCTGATCAGCTTATGTAATACGAAATAATACTACAATAAAACAGGATTTAGATTTATTACATTTAATTCTTGATTTAAAATACCTATGAGGTAAGGAAGAGATTTTTGTGTTTCACAGAAAAAATGATTTCGTTAATAGCCTGAGAGACAGTTGGAGTAAATTTATAAATTGTAGAATTAACGGAATTGTCTTTAAAAACACGTGACGAGCCGTAATTATATAGGATATATAAGCAAAAAATAATCTCCTTGATCTTAGGTACGGGTCGAAGGTTAATTTAAAATAAAAATTAAATGGGAGTAACAGTTAATGGTAGCGACCATGGGATAATTCAATACAGAAACACCAAATACCGATCCTCAGCGAGGGCGTTTGTCCTTGGGCGGGTCTCAGTTTCGCTACCATTAAGGCCAACCAAATGTCCTTTAATGTTACTGTATTAATAACAATAGATAGTGGGGTGACTGTAAGCCAATTATATTTAGCTACATCGAAGTCGCCTAATATAATTACAGGATGATGATATATATTTACATTCTGTAGTAAACAATTTTTAAAAAAAATTCAGTATTTTTTATGTCACTGTCAAATGGAAAATAATTATTTTTTGTACGTAAATTGTAATTTCTCGCAAACTACACACAATCATCAGTAGTTTAAAATCATAGCTCCGTTTAACACATCGAAATTATTTGGAAAGTGTAATAGAATTGTGCCCTCACGTTTCATATTAGAGGTTAAATAGTCTCCATCAGTAAGAAACAGACAGTATAAATAATAATAATATTAAATACAAACAGCACAAAACAACGACAATGTATAAAACAAAGTAATAAATGAATTATAAGAAATAACATGACATCATAAACAAAACAAAATTAATACACGAAGGGCTACCAGTAACAAAAAAATATTACATTAAAATATAATTAAGCGTTACCAATGTTTACAAAATATCTTTAAAAATGCTATTTGAGGTTGATAAACATCTAGCGGTAAATTTTACGTGAAGAACAAGCAAAGAAGGATCTCTCAGATTCCTCTCAGCAACGCAAATTCCAACAGTTTCGAATAAATAAATACAACATTTAATGCCGTTATAAGAAGAAGCGAATTTGTGGCGCCTCCTAGTGCATAATGCATGGAAATTTGAATGTTATGTAACATTCGCATCACTATAAAAGATCTGAAGAAAGAAACGGTTGTAACACAGGGCGAGAAACTTCCGGTGAATGCGCCCAAGCTTTCTGGCGTCAGTATAATTTAAGTAGAATTCCATGAAACAGAGGTATATTCATGTTTAAATATAACTAAAGCAAAACATAACACCAGAAGAATGTGTAACTGAGAAAAGAGTTTTATGTGATGTAACGTACAGCCATATCCGACGACAAATGACTCCTAAAAACCTGTAGTCTGAGTCCTGATTACGCGAAAAGCTATTCATTCCTTTTCTTTTTGTAGACGGTGACGGTGTATTTATGGAGGTTTGTCAAATATCCTACCGCGCTAGTCCCTTTGTGGTTGGGAGCTGTGCAATATCCGCTTAACTCTGCTAGCACTAAAGATTATCCGTGCCGTAAACATGGCATAATTATTAACGTCATGGAGCACGAAGAGGGATTTTTACATATTCAGCTCCTGACTGGAACAATTTCCAAGCGTGGCGTCTGGGGTCGCGAAACGTATTCAGATTCCGAACTACGCAAAAAGACAATTTGTTTTCACAAAAGTAATAAAGCGCTTTTGAATGGCGGACGAATTTTGAGGTGACTGAAGTTTTCATGCCTTACAGCTCTGTAGATACAGATCCAAAACAAATCAAAGAGACGATGGCTTGCAGCAAGGGAACTCATGAAGGGTTCCACAGTAAATAAATAAATATATATATATATAAAGTACGACTAGGAGTTTGTATATTATTGTTGCTGCTGTTATTGTTATTATTATTAGTGTGATTGATGTAAACAAGTGCATTAAAATAAATATTAACTAATTTACCATTTGTGTATGAAATGTGTCGACATGACTCAATGTAAATCAAAACTCTCATAATTATAACAGCTCAATATAATTTAAAAATTCGTGTACTGTCAAGATGTGTGAGTTTTGTATAATTTACGTTAATATCTTTTTTTGTAGTTTCAATTGCTTGATGGTGCTATGGAAGTATTTTGGGACAATTTCATTGGAAGACAAGCATACTAGAACTATACAGGTTTCTTCTTGGCGCCACATTTCCTTTATGATATTTATCTTAAGTTCATAAGTTTTCATCTTGTTGCTGGTACCTAAATTCCATGCTTTAACTTTGTATTACGAGTATTTCTGTTCTAAAGTAACGCTATATATTTATTTCTTATGACCGTTTGTGATGTATATAATGCGGGATCTGTCCTCCCTGTCGTTATTATTATCCAATTGTTTGGTTGGTCCACAAACAGCCAAAAACTCGAAAGCCTGCAGGCCAGGTGAAACTGTAGCCACGGCTCGAACAGTTGGGATCGTGCGCACGCGCAGTAGTCGGAGCGACCCAAGAAGCACGGCCTTTACATACAGCTGAGTAATGCTTTAGCTGGAATGCCGGAATAAGCTTGATGTTAGCCAGCAGTGACGACTTGACTCCCCCCTCCAAAAACTCCGATTATGAGTACTAATTTGACAGTAAATCCTGGATACAGCTGTCTTAGCTCAAATACAAGGTCTTGATACTTGGTCCGTTTTTCAGTCTCCTTCACAGCTATTTACTATTACTACTCTTGCTACCAGAGACAGTTGTCCCAACTTGTTCATAAGAATCGTATTCTTACGTGTTTCATAATTGTTCATGCGTTTGCCGATTAGTATTTTCCCGATATAATTCAGAGTAATAAATATATGAATACCAAAATACATAGTCATCACATAGACGAACACACTGTCAGAAGCATGGAAACACGTGCACGTAAGGAGCATGTAAGTTTCATACTGCTTTTGTAAAAGGAGAAGACGTGTCAGAAATCTAACCCGTGATACAGCTTAAGAGAAATTAAATAATTAATTTTCAGGTTAATTTTTGATCCATCACAAGAGCTATCAGTATACTCGTGCACTTTAAGTCAACAAAAGATCATACTTGCAGTCTTCTACTCAAAACAGGTTGTTGATGTTTAATTCAATGTTAAATGATCGAAACTGATTCTCCTTTCATCAACTCACCTACTAGCAGCCTCGGACGAAGTAAAATCTCCAAACTTTCCTGTCTTGTGACCGCCTTAATCCAGTTCATTGTTGCAGTATTTTGAGTTCAGTCAACACTGCACAGATTATCTACTTCACTGATCACTATATAATTCAGGAAACACACATTCAAGTTAACTCTTTTTCAAGCAGTCGCTACAATCGTTACAAGTAACCTGACTCAACTAGCACAGAACTCTGTTCGGAGGCGCCATTTGCTTCTACATTCGGATAAATTCGTTAATTTTCGGATCAGCCACGTAGAACGAACGTTCGACAGCAAACAACAGAATCGGGAGACTGTGGGAAACAAAAGAAGCTAATACGCCAATCCTCGTTGCTAGTAAAAGGCGAAGTTGTGAGAAAGCAAAAAAAAAAACGTAATCAGTTCCTTCTGATTCATAGGGATCATTACTGCCTTATTTGACAAAGTGTCCTCTGCCCTGTCTTGTAAGAGCATCAGAATAAGAAGCAGCCTAGTCCGGAAAACACTTAAACGCATAAATAGTTATACAATCAGGTCGAAGTTGATAAAATGATGAAAAATGCACAAAGAAATGCAATTTATTGAGAACATTAAAACAGTTTACTCGACCTATCATCAGAACGCTCCGGATCCATATTAAAGTAATTATTAAACATACACAGGAAAGCATATGAAAAAATATAGGGGTGTGTAAGAGGGGGTGAATTTCCGTTTTTACACTTGTTCCAATGTTATTTCCCCGAAATTATTAAATGTAGCTTAATAAAATGCTTTATTAGGAAGGGGTTAATTCTACACAAAAATATGTGGATTTAATTTAATTTGGTTCGTATCTGTACAATATAATTCGTACCCTACATGAAAATCAAGTCCAACTCCATGCATCGTCCACAAAAGATGATACATGGTTGAGATTTACAAAATATAAAGGCCTGGAACGCCTACCTGAAACATTTTCGGCGCTGTCAGTAGACCTACGTAACGAAAGACATTGGGAAACGATTCGTTCCTACGAAGTAAAATTCTGTCTGTAGCAATAAACATACATGAACATCAAAGCCAATTACATATGTACTAATGTATATTCGGCCTGTATACATGACAACATTCTATAAATCATTCAGGCCGGATTTAATTAGGTCCAAACAACATATAATCGACTTGACTATGAAGTTGCGAAAAAGTTTATTACCACAGGCGAAAATCTTTTTGTTTTCAAATAAACACTGACTGTACTGCGATTAAAAAATAAGCTCTTTCAAAACGTTGGCACTTACTTAGAAGACCACGCGGCGTAATATATTGCAATCGACAGCTTACAACCGCAACAAATTTAGCTAAATTATCAATTTAAACGACTATTTCTTAACTTTCTTAACGAATAAGCGTATATACCGAAGTTCTTCAACAAATTTTCAAAACCATGATAAAGTAATTCACAACGAAAATTTTACTGATTTGAAAATCTGTATACGTACGTAGGTAAACAATGCATATTACATGGTATACGTCGACAAAAATGTCTGGCTATTTAAACAAGTTGCATAACTTAATTTTAGTAGTGTATTAAAACTATGTAACACTTTCATTTAAATATGAACAAAGTGTAGAAGAAACCACACTTTATCAGGGCTGTAGGAAAAGTGTCCTTCCAGAGAGATTAAATTAACAAGAGCTTCCAACTGAATCACGGGAACTTTTAATCACCTAGGCCTACGATAAACCTGTAAAATACAGCCACGTTCATCTACCTTAATCCGTATAATATATTAAATTATAATTTTAGTCGTATATGTCGTAAATGCATGAATTTTATATCTAGAGTTATTGACTATTATTGGTTTTATAATCCTCATGCTTTACAATAAAACATATTCAAATAATTACCTTAAAAAGAATGCAATTAATATGTAAAAAAAAACATAATAACATCCAACACATTCACAGCCTTTCATTAATTCAATAGCGTTTTATCGAAATGTGTTTCAGTTAACTGAATACAGTTACATACAATTTGGGAATTTCATTTGAATTCAAGAGATCTACCTATATTTTGTTTGTATTTGTGAGTCATTTTATTCAATGTTTTACAAGTGCTCTATTGCATTCAAGCAGATCATATTGTACATACTGGAGTAGCAGGTATCAGGCACTAACAACTATTTAATTAAATATACGTAGTTAATTCCTCTGAATAACTTATTTCGTGGCGTGACAAACTACGAGGGCTGGAAACGCTACTCTGCGGTTGACGTGGCGTTATTTAAACCTAAAGATACTTGACCTCTGACCTTCAACTTGACTGGTCTCACAGTGAATTGATTTCGTATTGTGAGATTTAGTTTCTCACGGCGGCGAGTATAAAAGTACAATTACGAGCGCGAGACAAAGACAGGCGACAGAGACAAAGCACAGGAGACCGCTCTCGGACCAGCAGTGTCTCGCGACGGGCTCAGGCAGCACGTGTGTTGTTGAGTAAAATAATGGCAGAAACTAAATTTACTGGTGACCAAAATGAGCAATTGGTAGAATTAGTAGCAGAAAACCGACCACTGACCACCGACAGAAAGATCCTTCTTCACGTCTGGTTTTGAATATTGAACTCATAGGTTTTCTTTGTTTCTTTCGCAACAAATAACACAGCAACACATCATCTT